CAGGGGGAGCACTTCCCTCCCTCAGTCCCTGCCTTGCAGTCCATCCACTCAAGAGGTGTGGGAAGAGCAGGTGCCAGTGAAGACTGAGGCAAAAGAGTTGTTGAATATTTCAGCCTTCTCCATGTCCTCAGTAACCAGGTCACCTGTATCCTTCCGGAGAGGCCCCACATTCTCTCTCAAAAATCAAATAATTGCTAATAGAACTTAATAAGAATGCTTAATGTGCAGATAGTAACAAGGTACAGGAATTCAGCCATAAAATCTGAGTCTCCAGCTTGTACGTGGTTCATATTTCTCAAGCTGTAGCTGCGTGTAATTTTTAGTTTTTTGAGTTGTGGTTCTCAAGCTTCAGAACTTCAGTCCTTACAGATGACAAACATGAGAGAGGCACCTCCGTGTACTTGACAAACTTTTGATTAGAGTCAACTTGAGGTTTGAAGACAAAACCTGTGCTGGAGTTAGTGTTGGTGAGACGAGAACCTCAGTGCTGCGGAAATGCAACATGCAAGTTCAGGAACAAATAGGAAAGTCTGCCAGTCCTGTTTTAGTTATGCCTAGTGAAAAATGTCTAGTAAAACTCATTCCAACCTAGTGCGTTACTGCAAGAAGAATGAAAATAGCAGGTTATCCAGTTTCAGGAGACAGCAGACTGACAAGGGGTGTAGTGAGGACTTCTTGGGATCCTTGTGCCTGTGCTGGTTGTGTAGTTCGGGAGGGTTGTGAATGCAGGCAGGGGAGGCACCTTGCTTTGAGTACGCCACAAGAAAGCACTTCCAAACTGTGGTATTTCATTTTTTTAGTGTGAGCATCACTTTGTCTTATTCTACTTATACTTGTACGTTCTTTTACTGCCTTAAAGGCTTGAGTTCTCAGTGGTTTCAGCTGAAATAAAAGATGACAGTTTCTGTTGCCATTGTGCTTTTTTTACCCTTGTATGTATATTGTTTCAGTTTTTGTATGATTTTGCAGCTTTCTGTTTACAGTTGTTTCAGTATAAGGTCTTGCCTTTAACATCTGGGAAATGGAAATTTTCTAGCCACGGAATTCCAATGTTATCACACCCTTTGAATGCTTTCAGGGTATCGTCGTTTACCCATGAGAGTGGTCATGGGAGTGTCCCTCCTGAAAACTGTTCTGCTGTCCTCTGATTGATTCCACAGTGACTTGACAGCCAAGTTGTAACTGTTTTGAATTTCACTTGCAGTTCATACCTCATAAACATTTGGAGAGAGTTTTAATATTTTGGTTTATTGCTCATAAAATAGCTCTAACTGTAAATAAATCCAAGCTCTCTTGTCATTAAGAACTGAAATGTCAAGTTTTAGAAAATGCTGTTGAAAGTGTCATCACTAGGTATGTTATCTGTGACTTGGAACTTTCTGGGTAAAGCTCATTTACTTAATTATCTGTTACCTATTTGCTGACTATAAAGATTTTATCCAGCGAAAGAATATGGTATTGTTCAACAGAATTTTGAATTCAAAAGTACCATTTAAACTGTCATTAAACTACTGTTTTGTGACTTAAGTTGTTTTTCTCACTGGTTATAGAATCCACTGCGTAAAGTAGGTGAAAAGATAAAATAATCTAATGCTTGTCTTTTAACTTTCAGCTTTGTGTTATTCTTGGAAAGTTTCGCTCCACTTGTGAATTCCTTGAACCTTGGCATTGCAAGCCCATTTCTGTTGGGCCCTCCTCCTTTACAGCTTGCACAAATTAAGACACAGTTGGCTCTCCAGCAATTGACCTCAGTTGCTACCAACAGTTCTGCACCACCTTATGCTTGTTTAAATCAGGCCTTTCTGAAAAGCACAATGTTTAGCCCTAGAGGAACTTTACCTCCAAGGCCAAGAGGACCTAATCCATCTGGCACAAAGCCTCCGGGATCCTTTAGGGGAGGAGGTACAGCAGGTCTTCAGAGAAAGCCTGCACCCGGAGCACCTCAAGGAACATCACAAAGATTTTCGGGACAGGAAACGTTTCGGTGGACAGGTTCACAGAGGATAAACGTTCGGGTAACTCTGCACAGGCCCGATCCGAGGCAGGTAAAGCAGAAGATGAACCTACACCAGGAGCAGAAGGCAGAGCCTCGTACAAATTGCTGGGATAGTAGCCCGTGCTCAGCTGGGACAACTGGGCAAAAGCCACTTGCCTCGACACGGATCTCGGAGCAGAATTTGAATGCCCAGAACCGCTACACACCAGAAAGCGCTTCCAGTATTTTAGCAAGTTTTGGGCTGTCTAATGAAGATTTGGAGGAACTCAGTCGCTATCCAGATGATCAGTTAACACCTGAAAACATGCCACTGATTTTGAGAGAAATACGGAGTCGTAAGATGAGTCATTCTTTGCCGAGTTTACATTCTCAGAGCAGAGCAGAAGAAACAATTGGTGGTACGAGCGGTGCAGCAGTCAAGAGTAAAGTGATCGATTATGGTCACGCGAGCAAATACGGTTACACCGAAGATCCTCTTGAAGTGCACACTTATAATCCCGAAGTGCTGTCTGAAGAGCCTCTCGAAGCACGTGTCTATAATCCTGAAGCATCCAGTGGAGAGAACAGGGAAGACTTCCAACGAGAGCAGAACATGTCAATGGGCGTCCCACCATCCGGCGTGACGTGTAATCCGGTGTTTCCAGTTGAAGACTTAATAAAACCGACGGGGTTCCAGAATGATTCATCAAACACTCGATCGTTTTTTCCAACTGAGTCGATGGAAAAGGTGTCCGGATTGTGTGCAGCACCGTCTGGCCTCCCCGTGGTGAAACCTGTGTCCCAGCCTGCAATACCGCCTGTCATGCCGCCTATGATGCCACCTATGATGCCACCCATGGCACAGCCCATGATGCCGCCTGTCATGCCGCCTCTCGTCCAGCAGCCTATGACCCAGCACGTAATGCCGCCGATGGCCCAGCCTCCCTTTTCGGCTGGACTTCTTGCAGCTATAAGCCAGCATGAAAGAATTCAGCGTGAATCTGCGACGAGCCAGTCCAACGCCCAGAGCAGCTCAGGAGCTGGACAGAAGCCCTTCCAGACACAGTCTGAGGGGCCGATTAAATCTCCTTTTGGGATCGTGAAAGCATCGTGGCTTCCTGCCTTTCTCCAGTCTGATGCCCAGAAGATGAAGAGAATGCCCACCCCGTCAATGATGAATGACTACTATGCTACATCCCCAAGAATATTTCCACATATGTGTTCTCTGTGTAACATTGAATGCACTCATATGAAGGTGAGTGTCTTTCCAAGATTATTGCATAAACTCGTTCTCAGCACCTTACCTGCTGCACTGTTGATGAACTAATGTTTTACTGTGCGTTAAATGCGGCACGATGCTGTTCGCCAGTTTGAGTCCTTATGTGCAAGTTTTGAAACGCTAGAAACAGTTCTAGTAAATTATTGTAACTGCTGCACAGTGTGTTCGGTTCCAAATTGCATTTCAAAGTCGCCAGGCACATTGATTTCTATATATTTTTTTATATTAAAAAGTATTTATATCTTCTGCAATGGGTTTCAAATAACAAAACAAAACCCTTTATTGGTGGATTAAAATACTAATGTCATCTGGGTGACTAAAATGTGTGCAAAAACTGTATGCTGAGTCTCGGTAGGGTAGATGAGATGTTCATGTATTCAGTCCTCCTTCTGCAAAGTCTGCATTAAAACAAAGCAGCCTATTTATCTGCAAAAATTTAATCTTCCACATGGTGTCTGTGTGACATTGACTAGTCCAGACACTGAAGACTAACTCTGAGGGACACAAAAAAATGATTTCATTCATCTGACTGAGCTTTTTCAGCTGTGAAGCACATAAGAGTTTCAGCTCTTGAAGGAAGAAAAGGAAGGAACTGGTGGATACTGGGAGGGAGAAAAGCATTCTGAAAACTGTGGATTTTTCTTGAAAGACCTAGGCTTGATACATCAAAATACAAGGGAACGTAATTTTAAAAAATTGAATAAATCATGCTTTGATCAAATTTTAAATAGTCTTCAACAAACGTGTGGAAAGCCTGTGGGGGAGTGCTTATTTGCAATTTGACAAAAATTTGCTAGGCCCTATTTGTGCTGTGTATTTAAAAAAGGTGAATGATAGTTAAGATGGTGACAGCTGCATTAGGGGCTTCAGAGTGAAAATAGATTTTCAAGTGGTTTTACACTGGAAGCCCTGAAAGCCAGGGAGGAGTGCAGCTGTTTGGGCAGACTTGAAAACTTCAAAGGAAGTTTGATTTAAAATAAAAATGTGTGAAATTGAACAGGGTAACAGATTTGGGTTTGCGTTAATAGGTGGATGGAGCACTTTGCAACAGATTACACTTTTCCAATTTGAGTTACTCAGTTGCTTGCTCAGTGGTGCTTTCTAAAATGAAGCAAATGTTTTTACTAAAAATACTTCTTGACAAATTAGCTATGAAGTTTTCTGGGGAGGTTAACGATCATAACTTCTTGCCCTAATGGCGCCTCGGTGTAGCATGTCTTCTCCAGACATTCTGATCCAACTGTGACTACGCAACCTTTTCTCCTCGCCATGGCTGCTTCTTGCTCTGGCAGACGTTCACTTTATTCTGAATAGGATTTTTTTTCTTCATGTACACCTGCTGCTGCGTGGGCAGTTCAAACTGTTTAGAGACCTCATGGGGTGAGCTGTGTTTAGACAACAGTGTTGCAAAATAACCAAGAGTTAGGTGGTTTTTTTTAACTACAACAAATAAAAGTGTGTGAAGAAATGTCAGTCTTGTGTATTTGTGAGTTCTGAAGAATTCCTTTTACTTTCAGTTTTACAGTTTGACTTTGCAAATAAAGTTGTCTTTTTTGTCTCGCTTGCATGGTTAAAGATGACTTAGACATTCGTTTTTTTTTGTCTTCAAAGTTGTGCAGAGTGGTGTGGAGGAAGCACATGAAGCAGCACCTTCAAACTGAGAGAGAACTGGTGGGGAAACAGTGTAGTAGAAATTGATAGTCACGTGTGGAATTACATGCACTAGGAAATGGTTGTTTCACACGGCATAGGTACTGTTTGCCACAACATTGTGGAATCTTAGTTGGAAAATAACAAGTGCATAGAAGAAACCCCATGAGTGGCTGTGCAGAGACCCTGCGGTGGCTTGAGGCGTCTCTGATGAGCAGGTGCCTGTGGGCTGGAGGTGTATTCTCGGGAAGCAGCTCTGGTTTGTTACCACCTCCTGTGCCGTAGGAGAAAAGGTGCTGGGTGAGCCTGCAGGACTGTTGGTCTCCCCAGCACACCTGTAGGTGAACTGGATGTTCAGAGCAGTTTTTAGGTCAAAGTGATTAGACGTGATGATCTCTGGTGTGTAGTACCAAGTCATAAGAAACAGTTTAAGAATGCTGTGTTATAAACAGGTCTTTGTGACATGGCAAATTGGAAAGAAGGTGAAGAAGTGGATAGCGTGAAACAAAACCAGATGAAGATGATGAAGGATACTGAATGAGGAAAACCTCTTTGTCCAATGCTTGAAGATACTGGATATCTGAAAAAGTTTCAATGTTAAAATGATGGATTTCGAGTTCAGATTACTCACGGTGATGAGCCATCTTTTTCCATAGATTCTTTTAATCAGTCTTGTACTGAATTACAGACTCATCTAGGATTCGTTTTCTTGCCAAGGTGGAAGCAGAAGCTGCGTTGCCTGTCGGAAGAGAATCCAAGTGTGTTACCTGGCATTAGTTTATTAAAAGAATGTGAGACCCAACTCCTGCTCCTGAGGAGTCAGTCTGCGTCTGAGGCCATTAACTGTTAGTGGCTAAAACTTTGTATTTGCATCTGAACTGTATCCCCTTGGTCTTTCAGCTCGGCTCTCCCGTAAACGCGGTGAAACGTGGGCCGTTTCAGCTTCGAGTGAAAAACGCTTCTGCTGTTCCCCATAGCATCTGATCGGTTCTCCCCGTAGGCTGGTCGTCTTAAGTATCTAACTTGCTTAATTGATGAGCTCTGATGAAATCTAAGCTGGAGATGGCCTTGAGATCTCTGCAGTGTACTAAAATACAGAGTTCTTTTTCCAGTGTCATACTGCTAAGCAAGTAAAAGTATTTTCTAGTTTTTGCGTAGTATCAGAAAAATCCTCAACACCTCTTCTACAGAACTATGTGTATATATATTTGAAGGTGTTTTTTTATTATTTTTTTTTTGCTAATACACTGTTCAGAAGTCAAAAGTTAAAATATCTTCCACTTGCACGACATAGGTATTGTAGATCTGCCCATGAAAATTTTTGGTTTTAAACTTTGGAACTTTTTTGTAAGGCATATGGATAATCCTTGTGTGTAATGATACATGGCAGGTCAGCAACTGCGTGATAAGCTGCCTACGGTCCAGGGCAGAATGTGAAGAATACTCCAGGTGATTCATGCAATGGACTTTGGAAAGACTCTGTTCAGCATTTCTTTTCCTACCAAAACTGTCTGACGATGCCTCCAGCCACCTTGGTTGGGTCTTGCTGAGGTGTTTGTTCAGACAGGAACTAGGAGAGGTCTTGCCTTTTGGATCAACAGTGCAACTTCAGACTTGGCTGTCAGTGGTCCTCCAATGAGGTACTGGCACTCTAACAGACTATTTAGCTTTCCAAAATATTGTGCGTTTGTGGTAAATGATGATTACTGTGGATTTGAAAGCTGGTTGTTATTGGAGCAGCATCAGAAACATGCAAGATGTGTCCTTATTTATCTCTTATGTTAGGAAGGCTTTTGTGGTGTTGGCAGGGATAGTTGTATACACAATACTGTTAAAAGAAAGGGTATACTCCAGAAAAGTGGGCTTTTTGAGCTTTAAAAAAACAGCTTAGAAAATTAATTAACACTAAGGTGACTTGTTGATCCTAGGTGTTCTCAGAAATTTGTGCGTTTGTGTCCTGCAGCATTTTTTTGTGGAAGACTGCCCAGTTTTGCCCTTGGTTAGATGGAGTGTCCTCTCAGCGTAGTCGTCTTTCAAATACATTTACAACCTCCTCCAGCATATCAAAACATTCTATGAATGCTTCGCAGAGCAGCTTAATTTTCAACTTGAAATGTTGGATGTATTGGAATAATGAAGTGTGATTTCTCTGTCTTCAAACAGATGTCACTTGGAACAAAATAGATTTGCAATATTGCCAGCACGAGGGATCCTATTTACGGTGTGTTTCAATTTTCGTTTTCTATCTTAAATACATTTAAAGTGAGGGTGATGTCTTCTTGGGCTTTAAACTGCCTGAAGTCGTGGGGACTCATTGTTTTCTACATAGAATTGCGCTTGCGATTCCTTTGCTGAAGTAAGAGGACAACATGGGATCTACCCATTTTGCTCCTAGTTTTCAACATAACACTTTGCTGTGAAACCCTCACAAACAGGTGCGGGTGCTATCCCTGTGTACCATTGTTATCTTACTATTGGCAGAAGAGGCGAGATTGGAGAGTGAAGGCACCATGCTCTGTCAGCTGCTTCTTCAGGACCTTTTTGGTGGAAACCTGTGAGGAACGGGAGGTTTGCCATGGCCCGGAGCGGGATAACGTAGCAATTGAGGTGTCGGGTTGTGAAGCAGCAGTGCTGCTGCTGTAAGGAACTGCCTCCAAGTTCTTACTCCTGCCAGGATGTGATGGAGTGCGTGTGCTGGGAAGGGATCCTGTCCTTTTGGGGGAAAGGAGCCCTCTTTGGGGACAGACTTGCCAGAGGGAGTGGAGTATTTCTAAAGGCTGAAAAGGGCGAGGAATTAATCAAAGAGGAGGAACGTGCATAAATCAAGACTCCAATAATTCTGTGAAATGCAAGAGGGCATTGGCATAATGAAGACTTGAAGAAGAGAAGAATGTTGTGTTTGTTAGGGAGGAGAATCTCTCTTTGTCAGCCTTCCAGTCTCAGTGCTCATTTGACCAGTAGCTGAAGACCCTTGGAAGCCAAACGGCCTCCCACAGCCCTCGCTGTCTGCACATTCTTTGCATGGGACTGGGGAAGTGGAACACTTGAAGCCCAATTTCTTTCCGTTTCCACAAGCTAATTTGTTTTAGCCCTTGAGTAATAGTTTTTCTTTTTCCTGTCTGACTTTAAGACTCTGGAAAACTAGTATTCTCGAGAATGGGATTGCTTAGTAATGGCATGTTATTGGGGAAAAAAGTGTTAATGGTGAATTGCTTGTTGTTGCGTGCATGCCGTGTGTTCAGTGTGTGTGCAGTTCTACAGCTGCAGCTGGTTTTGTCAGTCTGCCCTTCAGCTCTCCATGTGCTTTGGTTCAGCCAGGGAGACTAATGCAAAGAGTCTTTTGGGTAATGTTTTTCTGACTTTATTTGAACGCTTAGAATGTTTTTATGAACACAGTTAGTAAAATCTTTCAGTGCCTTTTTGAGATTGGTTAATCAATATATCTGTTTCTTCAGGAAATTATAAGTCTTGTGCTTAAGATGTATTTTAATGTCTTTAAAACCCGTGTTTTTTGTACGTGGAGTATAAATAGTTTGGGTAGCTCTCCTCTAGCCACACATTTTGGTGTTTATAGGCTGATGCAGTAAGTGCAAGGAATGGTTGTTTTCACCACATTCTCTGTGCTGCCAAAATGCACAAAACTAATGGTGACCTGGTCATGGGTTTTTTTTCCACCTCATAGGCTTTGAGTGAGCCATCACAAGCTTTTCTTTGAACCAGTGTGTTCAGCGTTTTTGTCAATCAATGTGAGAGTTTGATACTGCCAACTCTGCGTTTTGTTGTAATGATTTTGTCATAAACCAGCGTGCACTTAGAAAAAAATCATATGTAATTTCACAACCCAAATTATTTCATAATGCCTTGTCTGTCAGTTGCATTATTCAGCTGTGATTACCTATTTTAAAACATTAAAGCAGCTAGAAATTGGGTTTGTTTTTTTTTTAAGGACGCTAAATAATTATTATTGCTGACATGATACCCTACAGCTTCATATCATGCGATATCTCTTCCCAGTAGCAAACTGACTACAGCAGTTGCTTTCACTGGCAGGTCAGTGTACTTCCATAATGCCATTACTCGAATGAAGCCTTCAGGCATCGTTTTCCATGCTGGGGACTGATTCTGTGTTTACAGTTAAACCTCTGCTTGAGTAATTTTCGAGATTGAGGACTTGCGTGGTACTCTGGATTTGTCTCATGCTTAACCCAGCAGTTATTCCCAAGTAAAACTTTTCTTAAGGGCTTTTTAATATTAAAAAAAGAAGGGTGCGTGTGTGACAGATTTCATCAGACTTTTTGACTGACCTTTAGTTGTAACGTTATTAGGAATGAATGTTCTTGACCTTAAGGCATGAAGAGTCATGGCTCTGTAGAAATGGTATGTGACTTAAAAATACCGTGTTGTGTGGGGTTCTCTGATTTATTCAGCTTAATTTGCAATGTATGTGTTCATCAATCTGACAACCTGTGAAGGCTGCTAATAGTTTTCTTCATTTTAATATAGCCGGCTATCAGTTCAACCTTTTGCGTTAGAAGTGTGGTGACAACCACCCAGTGTGTTACTGGAAGTAATGGATTCCTTTAATACGATCCATTTTGTTCAACTTCCACTTCGATTCCTTTGTGTTCTTTAACAGCCTTTTATAATCAATAAGTATTTCAGTCTTTTGCATAAAGAGTAATAATTTTAAGTGAGAGATTTGACCTTGACATAAGAGTTTAGGTAAATGTAAGATTCGTTAGGTAAAATTTGATGGAAGGTAAAATATCACAACCGGTAACTAGAAAGCATGATCAAACGCTGACATTTTACATGCTAATCAAGCTTCTCTGGATGTCTTTTCTCCGATTAGGACTGGATTCTTCATCAGAACAATCCTTCTCACATTGAAAGCTGCCGCCAGTTACGTCAACAGTAAGGAATCTGTTTAAAAAGTTCATTTAGTGTAAAAAGTTGGGTTTTGTGCATGCCCGTAGCCTGGGAAAATGTACTTGCCAGATTGCCTTAGTGAGGATTGCCGGTACCTGAGCGCTGCTCTAAATTGGCTTCAGACCAGTAGGGTAAAAGGTGAACTGACATGTGATGCTTCCGGAGTCCTGGACAGGACCGTTTGTCTGTAAAAGCTACTGCATGTAAACGAAAATTGTGTTCAGACAGCAAGCTTGGCTTTCTCACTGACGACGATGTTTTTAACGTTTAACAGATACCCTGACTGGAACCCTGAGTCTCATTCCTCAAAGAGGTAACTACTTTTTGATTACAGGTTGTTTTTAATTTGTTGCTATTATAAACATGTGGTAATTAATGCCATTAATTTTCCTGGTTAGCTCACCGGCAGGCTCTATTAGTGGTGTCATATTTTCATTATAAAATTGCGTGGGGTGCTTTTGCGTTCTTTTGTCCTAAGTTCATTTAAGAAGTGGCATAGTATCTAAAATTCTTTTACAAGGATGAGAGTACTGTCTGTAGAAAAGGCTGAAGATGGATATTGTGAGCAGTCATCCCTTGAACCTCCTAACCCTGCTTCAGTATTTTTAAGTTATTGGACGTGATGCAGTAGGAGCTGAGCGAGACTGTGACCGGTGTTAGATCACTGATTAAACTGTGTGAGTGATTTCTGACTGTCAGACTTAATAGATTTTTTCCAGTTAAGCCGCTCTTGTTTGCAACTTGAAACCTGTTTGACGATAGGCGTGCTGGGGTTAGCTCTTGTTTCACACTCTGCAGTCCGTAGATCCCTTGGGAAGCTACGGGATCACAAGTTGAAAAAACACTGGAATTCATGAACTCATGTTCTGTACTTAAAAATCATGCTGTTTACTGTTAATTTTTTTGAAAACACACCCTGTGGACTAATTCTACTTGGATCTCAGCAGGACTGGGGTATTTTACTGGTTCAGTGTTTGTACATGTTTCAACTTGCATACTAATAGGAATGATATGACTTTAATTTTGCTAGATTTTCCTGTGACTTTCTATTAATTAGTTTGACATACTTGAATATGTAGGTCAGGTTGATTTGCAGAGTGCATCTGAGGTCTCTCCATGTTAATAAACAAGGAGAAAGAAAACTTTAAAGAGAGAAACAAAAGGAATAAACTTTTGAAACTTTCATGGAGAGAATAATTATATTTCAAAACCTCAAACTGAAATTGCTCTCCAGTGCTGCTGATGTTACCAGGAAAAGGAAACAGCTCTTAACTGGAGTACCTTAATAAACTGGAGAAAAGTTTAATAGCACTTTTTTTAGTGAGTGATTTTCTGTGATTGCAGATGGGGCAAAAGTTATCTTTTAGGGTGGTGCTTTCTTAAATCCTTCCTGATGACAACACATCTCCAGCTAGGAGAGCTGGAGCTGGAGAGGGACTTTTTACAAGGGCATGTAGTGATAGGACAAGAGGCAATGGTTTTAAACTGAAAGAGGGGAGATTTCGATTAGATATAAGGAAGAAATTTTTTACATTGAGGGTGGTGAGGCACAGGAATAGGTTGCCCAGAGAAGTTGTGGCTGCCCCATCCCTGGAAGTGTTCAAGGCCAGGTTGGATGGGGCTTTGAGCAACCTGGTGTAGTGGAAGATTTCTCTGCCCATGGCAGGGGGGTTAGAACTAGATGATCTTTCAGGTCCCTTCCAACCTTAACCATTCTATGATTCTATGAACACAGCTGCAGGCTCTCGGTGATCACAGATGTCCAGAGCTGCTGAGTGCAGTCTTGGGACAAGGTTGATGAGCTGTTACCACTCTGGTAAATCACTTCAGTCTCTGCTTTTTAAAATTGCACTGGTTTATTAACACGTTTAAACGTTTTTATTTGGCACAGGAGTAATGGGTTTTACACGGATTTTTTAATGATGTTTGAAACTTGCTAATTAAGTAACACTGTGAGACAGTGGTAGGTGATGTGAGTTTGAACATCATTTAGGAGACCTGAGGGTTGTTCAGCTGTCCTTGTCTAGCTGCTGGCGAAAAGACTGGGCAGCAGCGGCTGCAGTTGCTTGTCATCCCCTTCTCCTGTCTGCCAGTTGTCAGCCCTCTCCTTAACCTGTTTCATCTCAGAGGAACTTTGTCTAGTTGAAGTCTTAAACAGTAATAATAGGGCTCGATGTGGTGACTCATTACGCATTGGTGCTCTAGATTACCTTTAACAAAGTGAGACGCTTTTCAGTTGAAATGTGAGCTTCTGTTTCATGTTGTGTTAAGAGACTTGTGTGTTTAGTTGTCCAGCATACAGTCTTCCCAGTAAACCCACTCGTACTGGATGTAAATACAACATTGGTTATTTCCCCGTGTTTCTGTTAGTTTTGCTACTATAATTACTAGTGAGGTGCTGCTTTCTGCCTTAGGCCGAAGGACATGCTGCATCAGTGGCTTCTTCCAGTTTCACATCTCAAAGGTGCTGTGTCTGCTCTTACCCGGTTTTGAGTGCTGGTACAGTGTATCTTTTGGCATCAAAGAATTCCATATGGGCTGAAAAATTGGACAAGTGGTTGGCCGTAACACACTGGCCTGCCACCTGACAAGCGCATTAAAAATGCTTAGGATATTTAAGCATATACTCTTAGCATTTTTCAGCTTTTCCGTTTTACTCCTGTAATGTGTCCTGTAAGGACTTTCCTATTCCTCAATACTTTCCATGTCTCTAAGAGGGACTATTTCTGTCATGGGTCTCTTCACCATTACTTCTTTCCATGTTCTTCATCAGTTTGACATCTATAGGTAGCATAAGTGTGCAGTGGATGTATATTTATGTAGTCCTCTCAAATCTCTTTTTCAGTCTCAGTCAGTCTTTTAGATGTTATGTCTCATGGTTGCTTACTTCCAAAGTAAATTTGGAAGAAGTAAGGAAAGCATCTTAATTCATTACTCTTTCATGTACGCTTTTCCTCTTCCTATTATTTTTTCATAGCACTGCAGCTTATAACTTCAGAGTTATCCTTGCAACTTTCTCGTGTTCCATGCAGGTTTTTCTCTCCAGTTTGCTTCTTTTCAATTCTGTCTACCTATCCTAAATTCATATAGCAAACATGTTACCAGTAAGTAACGAATATTTGTTAACAGAATTAGACTCTGAGCTTGGTCAATTTTGGTTCTTTTTTGCAGAAAGTCTGTTTCAACAAACTTGGGTTAATTATTCTTTTCTGACTTGTTAAAACTCATTATATGCCTTTATTCTGCTAGAAGTGCTGGTGACAGAAAAGAAAACCAGACCCCAAAGCGTCGTTCCAACTCTGCCAGTCCCAGTCCAAGACGTTCAAGGGTCACAGGCTCCAGCTATGTTCCACGCCGGTCACGATCACGATCCAGGAGCCCTGGCCGCTTCAGGTCAAGGCCAAGAAGCCGAAGCCCACGGCAGATGCGACGACTTAGCCCCAGACACAGGTCAAGGTCACCGCATCGATCAAGAAATCCCCTGAGAACTAGTCCTCGACGTCAGAGGTCTTCTAGTAATGACTGGTCATCAAGGAGATCAACCCGATCTCAAGGTAAAGGGGTGGATAGACGCTGCCAGATCGAAACTACCTTTAGTTTCAGGAAAACTGAGTTATTTCAAGAGATTGATCTGTCCAGCTGTCACCTAGGCATTTTTGTAGCAAAATTCTGTTTCTAAAAACAACTTTTCCTTTTGCTGTTGCTTTGAGAGAAGTATGCTTAGAAGAAAGTGGGCATTCCAAAAGATCTGAGTTTTCCTTAACCTAGTGTCGGGAGTTGGTTAATTGTATCCAACAACTGCTGAACAAGTGTCTGTTCCAAGTGTGCACAGTTTTTAAGACAGGAAGGATAGTCAAGAATTGAAAACAACCGAAGGTGGTTCTTCCTTCAGCATCAAAAAAGTGGTTTTGCAAAGGTGGTAAAGATGAGGAGAAGGAAGAGGCGGTGCTCAGACGCTGCGTTGAACGGAGGTGCAGTTTACAAGGAAAGCGCAGTGCTCTGAGATAACTTTGAGATGGGAGCATGGTACGTGAAAAACTTTCAATGAAATATCTGTTGGAACAGTTAAGTTCATTGCAGCAGTTTGTGACTCTCCGTTCAGCTTATTTCTTCCTCTTCGCAGTTTTAGGAAGTTTTGCGTAAACTCAGTCAGTTCCATGTAGATAATTTTGAGCTCAGTCTCTGACTGAAATACCAGTTTGTTTGGAGTATTTGTTTCTTTTTAAATTCTGAAGAGAAAAAAATAGAGGAATTTTAAAAGGTTGACTTTTTTCCTTTGATCTGTATACTTGTGGCTGTGTTGTTTGCATGCTTTCAGAAAATTAAGAGGTACTGAGCTCTTGTGGGAAAGAAGTCTAGGTGAAAAGCTGTGAGGGGGATGGGCAGTTTCAAAGAGATCTTCTTAAGGGTAAAATGCAAGCCATTGTAATGTAGAAGAATGAGGGGAAGAAGCAATTAACTAAAATAAAGATTTTTCACAGAAAGAAAGAATACAGGACATAATTGTTGTATCAGATCGTTAAAAAATAATTTAAACCAAAACATCAGCCTGTAGGATAAAGAGCAAGACAGAGTCGGGTACAGAATTTAGCAGAAGGCATCAAGATGGTAAGTACTGCTGTGCATCAGTATGTGAGGGGAAGATCAATGTCTTGAAAACTTTTCTTTTCTTACATTCCTTGACATGCAAAATTAAAGAGTCATTCTTTTGCCTCAGCCATTAGGATTTTTGTAGGTATCATTGCCAGTGTCATGCTGTCAGTCTAACTAAAAACGTCAAGTTACGCAACAGCACAGTGAAAATAGTGCAGAGGTTTATTATTATTTATAGACCATCTCTGCTAGAGTGTGATTAATTAAGGTTCTCTAACTTCAGTGAGTCTCGAGATTGAATCAGGAATGGGTGGTGAAACTGAAGCTGTAGAAAACCGAACAGGGATATATGTAAGTTTTCTTTTAAAAACAAACAAAACCCAGTTTGTTTTCCCTTCCCCTCACAGACAGAAGGGCAGCTCTGGAGGCAGTAGTGAAAAGTTTGGGACCTGGCTTTGTAGCAGAGTTCAAAAAACATAAGTCACTTCAAGCAGCTGGGCAAGGATCTTCGGGATCGCGAAAATCACCTCTCTCTCATGGACTCTTAGGGAAGATGCCTGGAAGTACGAAGAAGCCGCTGAAAACAAGTGCTTCTGCAAAGGCTTCGAAGAAAGATGTGCCTTCATTGCTTGGGTCAAGTTCTTCATCTCCTGAATCTGATGATTTACCCCAAAGCAAAGAAATGGAAGAGGATGAGGAAGACTTAGCCACAGGAACCAGTGGACCTCGTCCTACTCCTTATAATAGGGTGAGTTGCGTAACGTTTTTCTCTGTGGTTTTAAGAATTTGGTTAGTATCTCATTTCAGAGAGATCGCTTGGGGGAAGATTAGCCCTTCTGTTTGCTGATTCTGTGCAATAGATACTGCCATCTGCATGCGGAGATTTGCTGGCTGCAAGTGAGCACGGTAATTTTTAACAGATGTGAAGCAAAAGCTTTCCAACAGCAGAAAGAAATGTCCATCAAATTTGGGTCCTCGTTCTACTGGGCACTTGTTTGTATGAATTGTGAGTGATGAGCTGTGTTTGGAGGAGCTTGTTGTGTAAATAAAAGTAAAGGATAGGAGGCAGAAAGAGTTCATTTTGCCCTGTCAAGCGAAAAAAATGAGGCAGAGAAATCTGCTGCTGTTGTAAGAAGGATCTTAAGCCAGTGTTGTCTTAGTCCATCATACCGACTGTTTGAATCTCTTAGAAACACCATCTATAAATCAGATTGTATTTTAATTGTGGTAGGTGCAGTCACAGTCCTTGGTAATGCATAGCCTCTAGATGCTAAGCAAAGAGAATTTTTATTACAGATTCTTTTTTCTTCCTTTTACTGGACATGAGGTGGAAAGCATTTATTTTTGTTTTGCGTTTAATTTGTAGCTGTTGAGAGAGGAATTGCTGAGTTGTGGGACTGTCCTTCAAATATCCGATTTACCGGATGACGGCTTTTCAGATCAAGACATTAAAAAAATTGTTCAGCCGTTTGGCAAAGTTAGTGATCTCCTTGTACTTCGCTCTAGAAATGAGGTGAGTTTTCTTGTAGAAAGTTTTTGTGTCAGAATGCAAAACAAATTGTCAAGCAATTAAAAGATGTAGTGTTTGGATCCTCAGCTGAACATCGGATAAGGCTTCCTGAACAGTTTGTTGTTAAAGATCACACACGTAATCCTGGAATAGCTGGGAATCTTAACGCTATAAATTCAGTCTTCCTTGCTACCTAAGTCTTAGAGAAAGTAGGACGCTTTTTATAAAATACTGAAATCCAGACTTTTTCATCAAACCCTGCGTGAACTCAGATAGAGAAGTACATGCAGTTCTGTCGTGCGCAGATTTGCTAAGGAAAAATGGCAGCAAATTGTATCTTGTGTCTGTAATATAAATAAAGACTGAAAGTGCCATTTATTTTAGGCCTTCTTGGAAATGAACTACAAAGAAGCCGTGATAGCAGCTGTGAAATATGGCGAGACTGTGCCAGTACTGGTAAATGGGAAGCGTGTGAAAATAAGTGTAGCAGAAAAGCCAAAAGCATCTCCTGGGCAGGTAAGCAGCAGGTGAACAGTGTGATACCTCGTGTGCAGCTTGGTATTTTGCTCCAAAACTTGGTGTTCTCCAGAAAAATAGGTTTTAATAGTTTTAACGTATTTTTAATTTCCTTTTCATAAACAGCAGTGGAAAATAAATACGCAGATGCATGTCCTAATTCCAGTTCTCCATTTTTCTTGATTAAATTTGATATTTGTGAACAGTATCAGTTTAATAAACACCAAAAGATACAACCTATATTTTATATTTATACTCAATCACTATTAATAATTATTAATACTGTTTTTATATGTGTATATACAAATATATAAATAAGTATAAATAATGCAGTAAAAGTTTTTTCTTTCTCTTCATTCCAGGCCAAAAAAAATATAAAAAAACGGGCTCAGAATATTAAAAAAGTTGCACCAAGTACAAAGTAAGTTTTGCCATTACATATAGTAGTGTTTGTGATAACCATTGCAAACCAAGTGGGTTAATCTCTGTTTGGTTTCTTGTGTTCTACTGTTTTTGAGCTTTTGTAGCTGTTTTGATACCCATCAATTGTCTTTCAACCTGATTTTTCTTTATTTTTCTCCTGCCTGCTCATAATAGAAAAGGTCAGAACACTGCCACTAAGACCACTAAATCCATTCCAGGTGAGGTTTTGGTTCCCTTTTATCTGGTGATACCTCTGTTATTGCCTTCCCTCTTTGTTCTCATTTCTGTGTTCATATGAGTGCTTTTCTTAATAGTGCCTGAAAGCAAGGCCAGAGAGCTGCAGGAATATGTCTGGTTTATACTTTCAAATGTCTTCCTTTTCATGCAACCCTATCTGTCTTTATAAAAAACCCACAAAAATCAACCCTCAAGCAGCAATAAAAAAACCCCACCTTGGCCTGTGGTTCTATTCTATAATTTTAAATGTTTGCCCCATCTGTCAAAGATAAATGTGGCACTTTGAGCTCCATAAAACCAGTGTAATTCTTCAAGTTGACTTTAAGCCTAATGTGTAACGTATTTAATGTTCTCTTTCACAGTTAGTCCTAGTGCTTCCCGGTGTGTTATGTTCCTTGTACCTTCCAAATGCTTTTAAATTTCTGCCCTGGTCTTCTAATGATTGAGACAGAAATTATTTCAATTATTACTTGGTGTGGCAGAAAAACTTGTATGTCATGCTGTTAGAGAAGAACTTTTTTTTGATACTTCAATGAAAATGGGACAAAGTGCAGTAAATACATCAAAAGCCAATGAAACATAACAAAAATCTGGTGTTACTAAGACATTGGAAGTAACAGCCATGTCATTTTTTTGTTGTTGCTTATTTTATTGACTTTCATGAGCAATTTTTCTGAGCGAAGTTAGGGACCGGACATGAATTTGATGGGAAATTGTGCTTTTTGGAAATGTGGTGTGGTGTTGATTCGTTCATCAGCATGGTCACTTCTGAATCCAGTTGCCGGAATGGAATTAAGGTTCATGTAATAGTGTGTTTCAGAGCTGTCTCACAGATGGAAACAGTGAATTGTTTGTGGTTGTTTAAAAGAGGGAGAACACAAACTCTTTTGCAGGAGCAAGGTTTTCTCACCAGAATCCTAAACAAATTCACAAGACACTCTACTTCATGGCTTTCATTCAGTAGTGTGTTGGAATTAATTTAGTTTTAGGTTTTGGGATTTTTTTTGTCGTATCTATTGAATTTTTGCAGATTAAACTAGTTTTGTATGTATTTTTATACTCTTATTTCACAAGTGTAAGATTTAAGAAACAAGCATTTCTACTGACTTAACTTGGTTTGGATGTTTTACATAGGTAAAAAACAAAAGACTAAGAAATCAACGACAGGAGACAGTAAAATCAAGAAGACTTCAAACACTGCAGGTAAGACAAATGAGAACTTTCACTCTTTTTTTTTGAAAACACTGGCAGGTGCTTTTCTGCCTTCTGCCCCCCACTTTCCAGAACAGATATTTAAGGTAGTGAGTGAGTCCCAGATTTTCACACCTTTTACTGGGCTTACCAATGAGGTAGGTTGTTGGACAGGCAAAGCCCCGTCCGTGTGCCTTGGGGCTTGGCTAATGCAGTGATTACCAGCGCTGTTAGGGGATGGAGAATAGCAAAGAATAAGGGAAAGGTGGTGAGTTTGGGGAAACTTTCACATAACCACAGCCCCACGGCCGTTTTGCCAAGCTGGAACACGCATTTTCTGCCCATTTTCAACAAGGAGCAGGAATTTATGTGATAGGAGGCCTCTGAATATCTGGCAGAAAAATGTATAGTGCAGTTCATTCTTCTTTTGCAAGTCAATTAGTTTAATATATTGAAATGAAGACTGCTTTTTCTATTCCCTGCTGTTACCTACCAGCAAAACCAATAGATGAAGACCTTCAGATCTTGACAGAAGCTGAAATGGAAGTCAAGGAAACTAAGCTGCCAGACCCAAAGAACATCACAGAAGGAGACAGAGTTACAGAGCCTGTGAAGACTGAGACTCAGTCCCAAGGAGTGACCAACCCTGCACCTGTACTAGGTAATTCTAATACAATAATGCCATTTTTAAGTTACTTTGCTAGTTGTAAGTAATGTGAAGTTTAACATTGTGATGTCGTCTTGAATTTATTTTTTTAGAGCAACTTGCACAGACATCTGAGGTGGCGGCGTCGGACTTGAATGAGTTTAATGAAGCTTTAATTGATCAAGGTAAATTGGAAACCGACAGGGTTTTTCTGATTTCTGTCCCAAACCTCTCTGCTATTGTGAACTAAATGAGAGTGCTTTTGAGGCCAGGAAATTAAAATGACAGAGGATATCAGAGAAGAAAATCTATGAGAATATGTTCACTGACTGAAACATAAACCAGCAGTTCATCGTGATGACTGAAGTGGCTAAAAAAACCCAAGATTTACGTCTTTCAGCGGACATAATATTGTTATGTTCAGTGTGACATGGAGACTTTCATTTACAGCTCATTAGAGCAAAGGATTCAGGCTTTCGCTGCGTTCTGTTTACAGCTCCACCACGAATTCTTTTAACCTCATTGCTTTACATTGCCTGCTAGAGCTGGCTTGATAAATGATATTTTCCCCATGTTTTATGACTGATTAGTAACAGACTTTGTTTTAAACGTAGCGTAAGTGTATGTTAATTCTCAGTTACTATGCATGTGATAGTGGAGGTATGGCAAGGTTGTAGTTGCTCAGCCTGTTAAGGTAGATAAAAACACTTTACAGTAGAAGTGATTCTCCTTTACCTGCGCTTGCCTATCCTGTGTGATTGCTGTTTCCCTGTTTCCTGCTGTGTGTATTTTTCTGAGCCTGTCCCATATCACTGTGGACTTGTCCCAGGAAAAAGAAAAAGAAAGATAGGGCACCTACACAGTCCCTGTGTGCCCACAAGAAAGTCTTATGGTTGTGATTATTCAACGGATAAGGCCTTGTTGTCAGCAAAGTGTTTGCATGTTAAGATATTTTAATTTTTTCTTTATCCCTACTTAAACCCGTTCTTTCTGGAAGCATTTGCATAACACTGTACGTATCTCACCAATGTCATTTGTCACTAAGTTAAAATGAAGAAAATTTCGTTTTTCACAATGACAGTGGTGATAAAACGTAATGTAGGAAGTTCTTAAAGCTCTTCTGTATTTAATGAAATCTGAACTACTAAACCCCACCCCTTTATTTTAGAAGCTACGATAATGACTACGAAGAGTGAAGAATCGACAGAACCAGCTAACAAGGTCGGTTGAAAGGTGCTTGAATCTGTGGAAGGTTTAAGTAAACGCTTGGGTGCCATTCCCAAGTGTTGGTGTGCTGCCTGAAAACCTCCGATTTAAGTCCCCTGCCTATTAATTTCTTGTGAGAAACAATGAATAGTGTCTTTTCTCCTTGCTGTTTGTGATTTGATAAACATCTAGCATTTCACTCTTTGGCTTCTTGTTTTTGCCTCGGAATTTTTTAGTTACACCAAAACTCCTTTATGCTCTGATCATCTCTGTTGCCCTCCTGTGGGTTTCTTCTCTTTAGATGCAGTATTTGCACATAAGTATTTGATGTGTGGGCATGTCGTGGATATAAAGTAGTGGCATAATTGTAGGGGGGTTTGGTTCCGTTTGAATTTCTGGTGAGGTAGCATGAGACAACCTAAGGTCTGTGCAGACTTAGCTTACATGTGAATACATCCACAATTAAGCAGTAACTAAGTTGATTATGTGACATAATTAGAGAAAAGGGCTAAAAAAAATGTTTATTGCTACTAAATCCTAAAAAGGTTTAAATGGTCTTTGGGTTTGAGGTAATTGCAGGTGTTATAACATGCTTTTAAGCAGTGTTTCATTCAGTTTAATGGTGGTTTTGCATAGTAAAAAGAAATGCTCTCTTCGGTAATATAGCAGTTTTGATTTAGAGTTGAAGAAATACCAGTAATACTTCCGTTTGTTTATAGGAACTTGATGATATATGTGTCGTTCTTATTTCGAACCTGCCTGAGAAGGGTTTTTCTGCTGAGGAGATTTCCAACCTGGCAAAGCCGTTTGGAGGACTGAGCGATGTGCTCATTTTATCATCGCATAAGAAGGTATCTAGTGGGTGTTTAGTGGTGTTTTGGCCCAGAGCAGCAGCACATGGGTTTTTAACAAATGTGAATGTGATAATATAATGCAGCATTGATGTAAGCTGCTTTTGATATTTTTTTTGGTTTTGTTTTCTTTACTTTAAAAGGCATACATAGAAATAAATAGAAAATCTGCGGATTCTATGGTGAAGTTTTACACCTGCTTTCCAATATCACTTGATGGAAATCAGCTCTGCATCAACATGGTGCCTCAGTGTAAGACTATAAAAGATGAAGTAAGTAATGAAATATATTGAAATTCTGGGGTACGTGATAACATGTCTGCACAGCGCAGGGTTTTGAATTTAAGCTGACTTTTATACACTGCCTGTTTTACACATTCTGATGGTTTGTCCGATTGGAGACTGATTCTGTTAAACGTCTTTTTGGGTCCTGGTCTTCTGATACAAGAACAACCCAGGTGTTAGAAGTGCTGATGCTGTCGATTTTAGTAATAAAGCAGAAGCTAAGAGATTGTTAGGAGTCACTGCCACTCAGCTGCTGCTAGTGAAGCTATATTTTACAGTTCAAATCTTATAATGTCTTGTTTTTCTGTTTTTTAAAGGAAGCAATATTTACTGCTATAATTAAAGATTCTGACCCCAAGGTAAGTTGCTAACAGTCTATCTTTTCCTCCACATACTATCAAAATATGTTACTTTAAATTGGAATGAGCTAATATTTCAGTATGAAGGATACTAATTGAATTGTTATCTAAGCTTTCTCTTGAAATAAGTGTTCATATATGTTTTCACGGGTGAGTGAGCAGGGAATAGAATGAGTAAATGTTCACTTAATTTAGCTCCATGATGCATGAAGTGAAAGAAATTAAACATTCAATAGGAGTCCTTTGAGACCCTCTCCTTCTGTTACGTTTTTTTCGTGTTCTAACAACAAGCTGCTGACCACTGTAGCTTGGAGAATATGCAGTGCTCGCCTGTATATAATGCCACGTGTTTTCCTGGTGTGTTTAGTAGACAGATGTTTTGGTTTAACTATCAAAATTACCTCTGTGCTTTGTTCAGTGTAGCGTGTTCCTTCACTTCACGCAGTGCAAGCTGGCAATTGATGTACAAAGCGTTTTTATACAGCGTAGGCAGGCAGAGATTAATGGAGTTATAGCTTTTATGTCTTCTGTGAGAAACATTTTCAGGGTATTCTTGCTAGAGGGTCCGTCCGTGGCTCTGAGTGTGTGCCTTGGGTTCTGAACAGTTGGCACGAGAACTTCACAGGAGTGACTTTAAGAACAGCGCTCTTGGAAGCTAATTGTATCTGTTTAAAAAGCGTGTTGCAAACAGCCCTGTCAACAATAAATCACTTTACAAGAAACCTCAAGAGGCTTGAATTTTCATTTGCAAATGTATCTGGGGGATACCTGCTTTCTCCTTATGACCATTGCTTGGCACTGACAGATGCATCTGAGTACTTAACTGCCAATACCCCTGCTGCCATAGCCTACTTAAGCTTCTGATCTGCTTGTGGTGGAATACTTATTTTCTGCTCCTGGTGAAGTCTTGAATAATGGAAGAAAAACATACCAGACCTGGAGGGCGGGGGGAAAAATCTCTTCCTTGTTGGGAATGAGTGTTGCATTTTGAAAAGACACACAGCTTTGAAGTATTTAAAGATAAGAGTTGTTTAAGATTTCAGAAGTCTACTAGTACCTTTGGACTTTGTGTCCCAGGGCCCTTCCCTTTGATACTGCACGAAGTACTTGGTGCCAGGGTTGAGTCTTTGGTTCTGCTGGTGCTACGTGGCTGATGATGGCTTTCTGTTTGCTGTCAGCCCACTCATATGTCCTACACCAGAATCCTTCCTGGTCAGAAGAGACTTCCTGATCTCCTTGACAGCCTGTCCCCATGATGGTGGTGATAACTCTGTTTGAAAACTAAGAAACACAAGAAATGATATTTGACCAAGGATCCTTGTTTTATTATGAACTAATCAAGTAAACCAAACTCTCACTTAGAAACCAGGATTGGAGTCTTTTGGATAGGCTTCTATGTCTTGACCGATTTATAATCTGACTAGATAGTGTCTGCTTTTCGAAATACTAAATTTTATTTAAACTTTAGCTACATTTTGCAGAGTTCCTTGACGGTACTTTCACTAGTTAGTTAAAAAATTTAAATGATATTAAGACACTCAACTTGATCCTTTCAAGTTTGTTATTCTTTACTGGCAGACATAGCTGGTTCTTTTCATGTACTGCACAGAGACTGGAAAATCTGATGTGAATTGGATGTGTGTGAATGCTCTTTTTTTGATAAGACCAGAGTGATACAGAAGCTTTCTGTGAGGCTTTTCTAATCTAGCTTGGTAGTTGCTAATAAAGTATGTTACAAAGTTAAAGCAAGTTTTGTCTTTGCTTTTCTTTAGGTAAATACTGAAACTATCCGTAATCAGTTTGTGCATCTTGGGAACTTGCCGGATGATGGATACAGGGAACTTGAAGCAGTTTGTGTTGGACTTCGATTTGGAAAAGTAGATCATTATGTTGTACTGAAGAATAAAAACAAGGTGTGTGTTTCGTTTATTTTTTTCCTAAGGTGCAAAGTACCATGTTAGGAAAAAAAATTTACAAAAAGTAGTTGTTTTTCATTTCGCAGTACCGAGAATGT